AAAATCTGTACAAGGGATATGTTTCTACTCTATTAACCCAAATACACTTATGACTTCTCAAGATAAAGCACTGGCAGGAAGCCAACAGCATTGGTTTGCTCCAAGTCTCTCATTTTATAGATGAGAAAACTGAGGCCAAAAGACCAAAGCAACTGCTCCAAGACACAAAGACAGCAACCTTGCAGGTTACAAAACTGAGGTTGCCAAAGCCCTGGCCACTGATCTGAAATCAGAAGCCTTTCTGGCTACAGAAAGGTTTAGTTTGTTTGCTTATTTGTTTAAGCTTTAATGAAAAGTTTAAAAATTGTGCAAACAAACCCAGATGCCTGGTTTTTCTGGAAAAATCTCAGACATCTGTCAATTATGGATCCAAATTCTTACGTAGCCTCTTTCTGTGGAGCTGAGAAGTGGCAAATGAGGATGAGGTCACCAGGAGACACAATGCCACGGGCCACAGATAATCCTCCTTCCCTTGTTGCCAGGGGCCCAGAGATCTTGGAATTTGCTATCAGGCCTCTGTATCATACTCAGAAATACAGATACACACACATATAAGAGAGAGAGATGAAATATTTTTATGTCATATACAATCATCCCTTGGGGAGTTGTGGTTCCAAGACCTCTTGAAGAACTCAAAATCTGTGAATGCCCAATCCCTTACATAAAATGACATAGAATTTGTATATATCCTATGTATATCCTCCTGTATACTTTAAATCATCTTATAATACTTAATAGAATGTGTTTTGTAAGTATTTGTTACATTGTATTTAGGAACAATGACAAGAATAATCAATCTGCACATGTTCGTTACAGATACAACCATACACTGGCCTGACTGCATTTTCCATGTGTAGGTTGGTTGAATCCATGACTATAGAACTCACAGATACAGATGGCCAAAGGTTTTATATATATATATATATATATATATATATATATATATATATATACACATTGGAGAAAAGCATGTCTATATAATATGTAATATGAACCAAACACACATGTATGTATGTATGTATGTATGTATGTGTGTGTTGGTGAAAGTTGCTTTTTAAAGCCTGAAGGCACACATAAGGATATTTTGATAATATTCTTGAAGAGCATTCACTTGCCAGCCTTAAGGAGATGAGGAGTGAGCCAGGGTACGAGAACCTCTATGAACAAAGTGAGCAGAAAGCCAGCTCTCAGCAGAGGTGAGCTGGCTGAGAGGGAATGTCAGTTCCCAAAACCAGAGATTCAGGAAGAGCAGTGGCTTGGGCCTGAGTCCACTGGACACTTAGCCCTGGTCCTGATTTGCATGTGTCACACACACTGCTCTTGTGTATTTTTACAGCAGCCAGAAAGACCATTTTTACCTGTAAATGAGATGATGCCACTCTGCTTTGAAAAGCCACCTCCATCTTCTTTCCTTTGACATCCAGAGCTGTACATTTTGCTCATTCCACATGGCCCTCTCTTCTCCTCAGCCCCAGCCACACCTGAGTCCTCCTGAACCCAGAACATGGGAACATTCTTTCCTGATGGACTTTCCCCTGTGAGGCCCCCACCATTCTCCCAGGTCCTCCAGTAAAGAAATGATCCACCCTTCTTGTTACTCCCTGGCCATGACATCTAAAGTAGCCCTCCTAGCCTCTTGGACATCATCTTGAGACAGTCCCTTCACTCAACCCTTTCTGAACTTACCTGATTTAATTTCTTTGCATGTCTGGCTACCAAATTCCCCCTCCCCCACAAAAGTGTAAGTTCCATGAGAAGAGGCTTTGCTTTCTTGTTCACTCCCATCCTCAGGACAGTACCAGGCCCAGAAAGTACCTGGCACAACTTTAGCACCATAAACTTGCTGTGCACTGTGTCAGAGAGGTGTGGAAAAACACCTGAGCGAGAGGAGAAATCTGCCCATTAAAAGATCCCAGCTCCAGGTTAAGAACTGGGGAGGAGGAAAGGCCATGCCTCTTTGGTCTCAGAGTCTACCAGGGACTATAGCCGACAGTGCAGAGAGAATTAACTCATGGTGAAATCTCTATACTGTGCCCACTTAGGTTTTAAAATGCCCTGATGAGTGACACTGCTCTGATTTCCAAGTCATTTGCTCAATTTCTGTTCAATTTCAGAATCAAGGCTGAGTCTTGATTCTGAAGCATTCACAAGTGCTTCAGTAACTTCAAATGAGGTGTGTGGTGGGGGGCATGTTTTTAACACATGCATATGTAGTCTTGACTTCATTATTAAAAGATTGCTATAAAAGTGCCGCCAAATTCAAGATTCTGGACACATATACAAATACAGCATCTCCAACCCATGTGATGTTATGAAGAACAAGTATATGACATTGGAATTTCTGGGAGCCAGTGGATGGTTCATGAGCTCTGAGGGCAACAGAGAATGTGGTTGAAAAGGTAGCCCTGTGGCTCTGGAACTCTTATTTAGAAAAAGTCTAGCTGCAGACCCACTGGTCCTTGGCCATCCCCGGATCCTGTGGTCTAAGCACCACAGCAAGTGGCGTTTATAGACAAAAGAACCAAAAAGCAGAAAATACCACTGGTGCAGAGTAGGAGCACACTTCCATGTGCATGCACCATGGATACAGCAGAGAAAGACCCAGCAGTAGCTGCCATGCTGTCACCTACAGTAACAAGATTGATCTGTAGTGAAATAAAAGATAATGCAACCCAGAGGAAATAACTCTGTTTCCTCTGAGAATGTCTGATGTTTTCAACTGCAAGCCTGCTTCTCTCACCTGCCTGCCACAGTGCACAGCAGCACAAACATGCAGGCACTCCTCTGGGCAGGCAGGCCTCCCACTCACTGCCAGAGGCACACCTGCAAAGCAGCATCTCCCTACCTGCCCAACTCGTAGGCCAAAGTAAAACAAACAGGATCTGAATCTGAGCACAGAGCTAGCTCCTCAGAGCTATCACTGTAGGGATAGGTTGCAGAAAATGACCAGTGGCCTCTATTCATCTGAAGCCACTTAGTTTTCTGCTTGCTTATTTCTAGAATAATTCATACCCTTGTGTTTCAGGTTAATGGCACAACTCTGGCACAGTTTTCAAACGCAGAAGATGTGGACATCATGCTATCAGATTCTATCTATAAGATACAGAATATTTTCTCTTGGACTTGTGTGACTGTCACTGATAAGAATGATACATGGAGTTTTATATTCATAGGCAGAATGGCTAGAGACAAAGATAAGAAGGGTGTATCAAATGGTGAGTTCCTGGCCACCATTTCTGAGAATGTGTCTCCATATGAAACGGTCCTCTCAGGCCAGAGTCATGTAAATAGTTCACAAAGGCTAGTTCAGTTCCCTCCCTTTAAAATCCCAGCAATATCTTATAAGGGAGCTGCAGCCCACCGTGACATAGGTGATGGGCAGCTATTGGTTTCCATCTCTGGCAGATGCTATTAAGTCTCAATAGCCAGTGATTTATAGATGATTATAACTTTTGCTCTGCATATCATTGCTACTGACAGGCAAATCCCATCAATTGAATGGCATGACTGATGAAAAAAGGAGGCAAATGTGACATAGGCAACCAGAGAAGCCATTTTTTATACCAATTACAACACCCAGGAACGCACATGTGGTATGTAGAAAGCCAGATCTGATACAAGGCCCTTCTCTTCCCCCCTTCACCAGGAGCCTCATGTTTTACAAAGACTTCCCCAACTCAAACACTTTGTGTTTTAAGGACAGAACTGCAATTTCAACACTGGGTGCTGTTTGCATTCTAGTTTATAGAAAAAAACAATACTCTCCTCCAAGAGTGGCTCACTGAACCCCCAATTTGTCAAGGAAGAGAACTCACTGTCGCAACAGGCCATGACAGCAGCGCTTTCATTACACCAACAGTCGTGGCACCTTTTCAATTTTGCTCATCTCTTAGTCTCTAGCCAAATGGAACTTATTACTTATAGCTTGTTGGGCTTTATGAATTATTTATAAAAGTAAGTCTATGACTCCAGACTCTTAAAAGACAACACCACAGAACTCTCATTGTTACCCAAATCGTGCTTCTATCAGAGAGCAGGTATTCTCCATAACACACGCGACATGTTTGGGATGAAATAACAGTAGTGAAAATATCAAGGCAGTAAGAGTATTTGGAAGCTATTTATGGAATGTCTGGGTATATTTTTAAAATGTTTTTTTTTATTATTCTAAGCCAGTCTTGGGTTCCAGAAAGACGACACAGCAGACTTATGCTAAAAGCTTGAATACACACAGTGAAGCCCTGAAACTGTTGCCCAGTACTTACAAGCTGGGATGAAAAGGTAATTTCCCCATAATGTGTGTCAAGAAGTTTCAATGAGTCTGTGACCCAGGAGTTTCCTTCTGCTTTGGGGAGCACAGTAGATGGGTAGCCTAAGTGGAGATGAAACACTGGCCGGAAGATACAGTGGGAGGGTAGGCTTTGGTTTCCTGCACACTAGAACACATGACTTTGGCTGGAAAAACAGATGGCACTGCCCATCCCTCCCCCAAGCCAACTGTGATTCAGTTGCAGACACAGTTGGAGAGGTTGTGAGGGACAGCTGAGTTGAAAGGCATTAAAGTGGCTGCTGTGATCTTGCCACACCTCTGTAACGGAGATGTGTTTACTCAGCAAAGAAACTTCCACTGGCACTAGCATAGGAAGCTCTGACCAAGCAGCAGCTGGCCTTGATTCAGGAGCCCCAAGGGACAGGGTCCTTATACCTAAGCCTCTCCAGGGATACCTGCTCCTTACCAGTCTCTCTGTGTCCCTGCCCAGCTCAGCTATAGACCCCTCCCTTTTTGTTCCTGTCCCAATCTTCCAATCCCCCACCCATCCCCACCAGCCCCCGAGCATGATTCAGAGGAAGAAGCAGAGGCCCAGGGAGGTCAATGGTACTTCAGGCCATTGTCCTCATAGGGTCCCTGAAAGTCCATGTATCATTTTCATAGTAAAGACAAAACCCCACAGCCAAAGAGCACAGCCAATGTAAGAGTAGCAGGAAACAGTGAAACTTACCTTGCTGGAAAACATCTTCAGGGAAGGAGGAAAAATAGGGGTGAGAAGAGGAGAGACAGGGAAAAATATTATTAGTGATGTTGAAAAAGACAACCTGGTAGCTAGCTAACATACACTGACTTTGCTGAGCACCCTTCACATAGCACTCCCTTGAACGCGGGAGGCATTAAGAACTTAAGCTGTGGAAGGAGACCACTTGGGTCTAAATCCTGACTCAACATTTATGAACTTGGACTTACAGTTTCCTCAACAACAACATAGGCAGTACTAGTGCAAGGTTAAACATGTTATTTCACACATTTTAATGGTTCACAACAGAGCCTGGCACATAGGGAACAGAAAAATCGGTGGTTACCTTCAACACTGATATCATTACTTTCACAATGACCTCATAAAGTAGGTTCTAGTATCATTCTCATTTTGTAGATGAGTCTCCAGAAAGTTAAATAAATCATGCAAAGCCACAGAGGACCAAGCAAATCTGTCTGATTCCAAACCCATCGTCTTACTCACTACTAAGCTGCTTGATTAATTTACAAATGAAAACAAAGACAATAATAAAGACAGGCCTATAACTATATTTTTATATTTAAATAATATTAACAAAACATGTATACATTCTTTATATTACATCCCAGGACTAGCAACAACATTTCAATAATAAATCCTAGGTCAAAGTTTTCTACAAAGGTGAAAAATATTACTGCATTTTTTTCAACAAATATTTGAGAGACTACTATTTGCCAGTGTTCTGTGTGGTACTAGTAAGCCACATCTAGGAAAAACACACAAAAAAGCAAGCCATCATCTCCCCTAAGGGCAGCTGCTAGCACCACTTCTAATACCATAAATATATTTTGTCTGTCTTTGAATTTTGTACACATGGACTGACAAAGCATGAATTATTTTCTAAGTCTGATCTCTTTTCTCTACAGTGATTTGGGAGTCATTCATACTATGTGGCATATCAGTCATTCTCACTGCTACACCGACTTCCACTGTGTGGTTATGCTCTAATGTACTTTTCCACTCTGATGTTGTGCTTATCTGGATTATTTCAGTGTGTGACAACTAGGAATCGTGATGAACATTTTCCTCTGTATCTTTTGGTGAACATACATACCTATGCCAGGTACTTTTTGACAACTCCAGTATGCACTTGAGCTTGCCCTGCTTCTGCTGCCTCCCAACAATCCCCAAAGTATTCCCATCTGTTCATACTTTCTCATTTAGTAGCCTCAAGATGGAGACAGCACTGGCAGCTCCTCACAGCCAGGAGCCAGTTCCTGTCCCACTGGGAGGGCTGTAAACAGGTAAGAAACTTCTAGAAGATAGTTTGACAGCATATATAGAAATGTTAAATATGTATTCCTTAACCCAACAATACCACTTCTAGGTCTTTAATACTAAAAGAAAACTAAAGGCATGAAAGAAATGCATAAGAATGTATTGTTTGTAATGGCAAAACACTGAATATTGCCTAATTGTTTATCAATAGAAAGCCAAATAAAAAACAAGTATTCATATAATGGATCATTGTGTAGCAATTCCAATGACATCTAGCTTTTTTCTGTTGAGATAGGTCTCACAAAAATTTTTGCCACAGTTAGCCTGGAACCATGATCCTCCCCATCTCATCCTTCCACATAGCTTGGGGTGACAGGCATGTGCCACCATGCCCAGCTATTGGTTGACATGGGATTTTGCTAATTTTCTGCCCTCCCCATCCCAGCCTTCCTAGCAGTTAGGATTGCAGGTGTGAGCCAGTGGCACCCAGCAAGACTAATTATTTTTTATTGAAAATAAAAGACACTAAAATGGAACATATAAGACTGGGGAGGCCTGACTTAAGTGGTAGACTGTTTGCCTAACAAGAGTGAAGCCATCAACACTATTCACAATAGCCAAGTTATGGAAACAGCCAAGATGCCCCAGCACTGACGAATGGATTAAGAAAATGTGGTATCTATACACAATGGAATTTTATGCAGCCATGAAGAAGAACGAAATGTTATCATTTGCTGGTAAATGGATGGAATTGGAGAACATCATTCTGAGTGAGGTTAGCCTGGCCCAAAAGACCAAAAATCGTATGTTCTCCCTCATATGTGGACATTAGATCAAGGGCAAACACAACAAGGGGATTGGACTTTGAGCACATGATAAAAGCTTTAGCACACAAGGGAGGGGTGAGGATAGGTAAGACACCTAAAAAACTAGCTAGCATTTGTTGCCCTTAACGCAGAGAAACTAAAGCAGATACCTTAAAGCAACTGAGGCCAATAGGAAAAGGGAAACAGGTACTAGAGAAAAGGTTAGATGAAAAAGAATTAACCTAGAAGGTAACACTCACGCACAGGAAATCAATGTGAGTCAATGCCATGTATAGCTATTCTTATCTCAACCAGCAAAAACCCTTGTTCCTTCCTATTATTGCTTATACTCTCTCTACAACAAAATTAGAAATAAGGGCAAAATAGTTTCTGCTGGGTATTGGGGGGGGAGAGGGAGGGGGCGGAGTGGGTGGTAAGGGAGGGGGTGGGGGCAGGGGGGAGAAATGAACCAAGCCTTGTATGCACATATGAATAATAAAAGAAAAATGAAAAAAAAAAAGAGTGAAGCCATCAAAAAAAGAAAAGGAACATACAATCCTGCGTCCATTTATGTATCTGTGTTTGTGTGTATGGCTACATGAAGACAGACTTTGTGATGATGGTCATAAAGATATTATTTATCTTCAGGAGATGGAATCCGGGGTCTTTTTGTCTTATGTAAAATTTATGCATTAATCTTTCACAACAAACATCTATAATCTTAACTTAAAACTAGTTATTTTCACTTTAAAAGCTAAGTAGGAACTATAATATCAACATCTAATTTTGTTATTAATCAGCACCTGAAACATCAGCTCCCACAAGGTCACAAAGAGCCAAAGATTCCATGAGTGGCACGGATGAAACAAATACTTCGTATGTTAACAGACCATAAGAAGAGAAACCTCATGGCTGCAGATTTCACTCCACTTGGGTGCACGCAACTCCCACTGAGGGTTGTCATTCACATCAATACACATCTCCCCAAGGGCCAGTGGCTGTGGCTCAGGTCAAACAGACTGCAAGCTCACAAAATACCACCCTTTCTTCCACAATCAAGAAAGGCAACTAGGATGTATATGGTCCCTGAGTGTCACTACAGCACAACCCTAACTGTGCTCTAATTTATAAAGACACCTTCTGTATCAGTGGGTCCTGCATCCACAGATTCCCTCAACTGGAGACTGAAGATGTATTTTAAAGAGTGTGCCTGTACGAACATTACAGGCTTTTTCTTCTCATCGTTCCCTAAGCAAGACAGTATAACAACTATTTGCACAGCACTCACATTGCATTAGGTATTACAAACAATCTTGAGATTAAAGTATACAAAAAGATGTTGTACATTATATGCAAACACTATGTCATTTGATATAAGGGACTTGAGCATCTGCAGGTTTTGGTATCCAGAGGTGGTCCTGGAAGCAATCCCTCGTGGATAGCAAGGGCCAATTGTACATGCTAAACAGTCCTCTGTAGCTTTGGGAACTCAACATTAGCACAAATTCTGACCCAGCAGTGAGATGCCAGTGCCCAGAGACTGAGAGACGGCCATGGTCAGCTCCCTAAATACATCACTTTCACCTGTGTTTGCTTGCTGGACTCCCACAGTCTGAGCCAACCTGCACATCTGGAGGAGCCCTCCTACTCAGCCGTCACATGTCAGAGTCACTGTGAAGTTTATCCCCACAGAAAGGGAATTCACTGGTTCAACCTTTGTGCTCCTGGAGAAATCTGTGTATGTTGCAATTATAGCTCATACTATAATTAATTATTTATGTAGACCATGTGCTCCTGAGGTCAAGAGCAATGTGTCTTAGTCACCTGCTTGTGTCCTGACTACCTGGCATGGTACACTACCACCCAGGAAGGAGGGCTGGTCTATCTCAGAACTCATCAGTTCCAATCCCCTCATTATATAGATGAGGAAACTGAGTCCCAGATAAATTAGACATTCTTTGCAAGGTCACACACGGAGTTCAAGGCTGAACCAGGACTACATGAGACTCATTTAACTTTAATGAACACAAAAGCTCATCACAGTTATTAGCAAAGTTCAAATTAGAGATTTATCATTTCCCTCTAATGAATATAGACAAAAATTTCCAACCTTGAAAACATCAGGGAAATAAGATTAGTCTTTCAAATACGGATCCAGTCTCGACATCCGTCCAGAATCTTCAACCTCCTCTCCATGACTTTGACAAGGAACACTTCCTTCAAAATTCAGTGCTGATTTGAATCACTGGAAAGTATCAGTGGGTAAGGAGGAAGGAAACTCAGGAAGGGATTTAGCAGCCTTATTCCTTCTAATTCTATTTGTATATTTCACATTTTAGCAGAAAATCTGCATAGAGTACTTTTCAGGCCTTCTACTCCAAAAACTCTCTTGATTTTCATATAAGCTATTTTAGGTTTTTTGCACCTTTTTATTCAAATGTAAAATTTAATAAATGCAAGTGTAAATAGTGCAACAACTCTGCATATGAGTTGTGTTGTAATTGACACTCTAAATTTATGTCTTTTGTGGTCTGTGGTATAAATCATCTCATTCTTAGCATCATTTACTCTTTGCTTTGTATAATAATGACTGAGGTGCCTTCTTTAAAATTTCACTTTTCCAATGAAATCAGCTCACACGCAAATGATTCATGGGCAGAAGAATGGGAAATAAGTGAGAAGAAAGTAGTTTCTGTTCTGTCTAGCTATATCTTGCCCCCACCCTTCAAAAGTTAGGGATGTCAGAGGGTATTAGCCATAGAAATGCTCACACCATCTTCTACTCTAGTATTCATATCTACTACCCCCCCCATCTTCCAAACCATCAGAAGTGGTCACTTATAAAAATCAAAGGGCCTTGAATTTGAGTATGATATTCCCCTTTCATTCTAACCAACCACTAAGAATTCTTTAGGAGTCAAT